TGGGACAAAGGTTGGAAGGAAGGGAGGGAGGATACAAGAAAAGAAAGTTAAAAAGGGACAGAAGGATGAAAGAACAAATGACAGGCCAGGAGGAAGGACAGAGTGGAAAGAAGGTAGGGCATAAGAAAGAAAGGACACGTTGAACGAATGAGGGAATCAAGGACAAAAAATAGGGGAAGGGCACAAACAAGGAAGGACTTGAGAAAGAACAAGAAGAAGGGCAGGAAAAAGGAAGAAAAGAAGGAAAAAAGGAAGCGATTAGGCAAAGACAAGGTAGTAAGGAATGACAAAGAGATGAGGAAGAAATGGAGGAAAAGGATTGAGGACATAAGGAAGGAAAGATGGACAACACTAGAAGGATGGAAGGATTGCTGAATGTCGCTAGAAAGAGAATGAAATTAGGTAGTGAACAGTACTAGAATGAAGGAAGGCTAGAAGGAAGGAAGGATTGGGGAACAACACAAAAAGAAAGAAGGAAGCAAGGACACCAGGAAGAAATGAAGGGATGGTGAAAGAAGGCAGGAAGGAGGAACAGAATGGGTGGGAATATAAATATTTTACATATACATTTGTTTTTTTTTCATAGCAAATCAGATCAGGAAAAAAAAATCCGATTTAATTCTATACTTTTCTAGACCACATTGGAACCATGACGAAAACTAAATCCAACAGACTGCAGCAATAGTTTTCTCCCCTCTGCTGCCCCCTCCAGGTCGAAGACAGTGGTGCGCCATCGGCGTGCTGGTCGCCATCATGATTGTCGTCCTCATCCTCTTCTTTGCTCTCTGAAGACCTCTGACCTCTTGACGATGTTCACCTGTCAGGATGAATGGACAGAAAACGAAGGAAAGAAGAATGTCTCCTCCTCTTCCTTTCCCTCCTAAAATCACTCCTTTCACTCACACCGAGGAGAAAACTGCGGCCTGCACTGAAAGGTTAGGACGCGATCGTCAGATCCGTTTTTTTCGGATCTGGTGGAAAGAAGAAGAACTTCAAGAGAACGTCGGAGGTGTTTTTCATATTTGTGCGTCGCGATTATTGATGCTAAGTGTTGGGCTACAAACACAAATCTGCACATTTTCATGCTTCTGGAGATTATTTAGAGCAGTCACTGAGAACGGCGTGGTTTGAAAAATCCACTCAAAAAACACACTTATGGAGGTACTTGGGTAAAATGTTTTAAGTATTAAATTAATTACAATCTATCTCTTGGTGTTTTAACCCAACACAAAGAGTGGCGGGCTGTTGCCTTAAATATATTTTTATACTATTTTTGAACCGTGCGTCATGTTCATGTGCCTACCTGCTAATTAGAATGACAAATTACCTGCAAATTATCAGTTAAGCTACCGGGTCTGGGGCAGCCTCGGTCACATCCACGTCTCGTCGAGGAGGAAAGCGTTAGTCATAACTGAAAACAAAAAAGAGAGAGAGAGAGAGATGCACTTCACGTTTGGTGTGGAAACTAACGGATTCCTGAGGAAAGCCGTTTTATTTCCCGCCCTGAAAGAGACCGGGTGAAGCGGGGGCTGCCGCCACGCGCCTCCGCATCGCCGTCAGACATCAACCCGCGCGATTGGCCGGGGCTTCGTTACTCTCGCTGGCTGATGAGAGACGGCCTTGGCTCGGAGCGAATGGGTTCGCCTCTTTTATTTAAAAGCGTCTAATTGCGGAGAGAAATGGTTGCTGGGCAAGATGCTTCTTTGTGCGGGCCAGAGTTGGGCTCACAGCGCCCTCTGCTGGATGCTGAAGGGTTTTGTTGTTTTATCTGTTCAGGCGACACGAAGGTGTGCTAAAGTGCTGTATCATAACCACAATGCTTTAATGTGCGTGTGTGTGTTTGAAAGTAAATTCATTTTACTGTACTGCCTTCTGTAGGTTCAATTTTTGTTTTTAACTCAAATCCAAATGTCTTAATTTGAAAATGTTGGGGTCTCTGTTCTGAGGAAAAACAAACTTGCATACCATTTATCCACAAATGGGTCAGGATACATTATTCTCTATGAAGTTTTGGCTTGAAGATAAAAGCCTTCCCACTGCCAGAGCCAAGTGAGATTTAGTCCTCTTGGTGCTTTTATGTCAACTTATGTGTGGTTTTTACATAGACAGTGGAAAGAAACAAACAAAAAATATTATTTGTAAAACTCCTCGAAACATGTTTTGCACTTCATTGTCACCTGTAAGATCTGTTCGAGTCAACTGGAGGTCAGTAACCATTAAAGTATCTGTAATGCTTTTTTTTTTTTTTTTTTTTACAGAACTTGAGGCACACATTTCAGTTCCCACAAACATCTAATGTGACTGAATTAAATACCTATTGTATTTAAAGTATCAAGTTCTTTGTTTTTATCAAATTGCCTTCACTCGATTCAGTATAGTAGATAAAATGTGATGGAGGAAACTGAAGACTGGTTTTAATTCTTTCACAGGTTACTTTAAACTTGATTAAAATTGAAACGGTTTATTTAGTTATTTTGGATTCTTATGAGTGGCGTGGGGTTAAAAAACTGCCATTAAAAGTCTTGAATAATTGCCAGCCATCAGGATTTATCTACCTGCAAGACGGCTGCAAACAAGCGTTTGTTTTTGTAAAACTATGACTTATTGATGAGACAATAAAGTAGTTTTTGTGCCCATAAGCAATATGATTTTTCTTTCTTTTTTTTGTCACTGTTCATGGTCCTTGGCTGCCTTTTTTTTTTTTTATACGTTGGCAGTTTTGAGTCTGGTCTGATCCGGTAAAAATCCTTGAACATTGTCTGATTGCATCTTCTTGGTGTAATTTGTGTCATCCGATTTGTTCTCCATGAAGCAACCAAATTCATTTAGAACACCTTGTACACTAACTAACCTGTATGTTTGAATGAATACAGTATTTTGAGTCTCGGTTCCTACTGTGATCTCTCTTTTTTTTTTTATATACATGTAAAAAGCTTTCGGTTGCTGGAAGACGCCGTGTGAGTGAGTTTTTAATTGAGAAGAGGCACTTATCAAAATGGAGACTTCATCACATCCTTCTCTAGAGAGCCGAACAATCGTGTGAAATTGCATTTGGTTTAGCTGGAATGAACAGAGTTCGGGTCCCTTATGCCTGGACGTAGTTCTGAAAATAACCTGGCCGCTGTCCTGAGGGTGGTGTTTTTAAAGTGTCTTAAAAAGTATTCACCCCTTTGGATGCTTCACCCTTTTTTTATTGCTTTTACAAATTGTTCATGATGAACAAAATTAGGCTTTTTTTTACCCCTTTAATGTTAAAGTAAAAACTGATTTCTACAAAATTACATTTAGCATAAAATAAGTGCAAAATAAGTTCACTCCCTTTGAAGTCACTAACCTATTTCAACAGAAGTCCAGCCAATTGCTGCTAGTCGTCTCACAATGAGGGGAAAGGAGATTGACTTGAGTGGAGAGTGTGTTTCAAATGATTATAGTATAAAAATACCTGCGTCGGAAGGTCCCTTCGCTAGTTAATCAGGATTCCTGACTACCATTACAGTATGAAGACAAAAGAACACTGAAATCAAATCAGTACAGTTTATTGAAAATATGTCAGGAGATGGAGGCAAAAAAAAAATCTCTGAGGTACTGATGGATTTAACTGGAGTTCAGTTAAATCCATCAACAAGAAATGGAAATAACATGGCATGTGTAAATTTGTATAGGTCAGGCCGTCCTTGCAACACTTATTTCTTGGTTATGGATAATTATGACTTGGAGGTAATGAAAAAACAAAATTCAGGTGCAAATTTAAAAATATTGCTCAACCAAAATACCTCAGATATGTACCGTAAACTTATTGCGATAGGGATGTACCGATATGAAACTTTGAACCGATATTAGTTATTGGTTGTATCAAACTGAAATAGCTGTTGCAAACATCCAAATACTTTGAGATAAAAATAAAGATTAATAGGGGTGCCCAAACTTTTTCATATGACTGTATATTTCCCAACTGTGAACAATTGACATTGCTTCTCTGTGTCAGTTGAACACTCCACCAATCATGTGCTGCACATTGATAAGTTGAAGCTCCAACATAGGCATATACCGGTATTGATGCCAATCTGGCATCCCTAGTTTTCAGTGTTTCAATCACATTTTGACCTCTTGACATTTACTTCTTATTTTATTGTAATAGCCTAGTTGCACCACTAGGACACAATTTGTGTTGGGAAACTTGTATAAAAAAGGTGGGAGTGCTCAACATCCTTGGCACGCACTTCAAATCCAACAAAAATTGTGTCAAACATTTACTGTGGTAACATTAACAGATGATTTCTTTGTCTTTTAAATACTATTTTGAAGACATTGTGAGACGTTTAAAGGAAAGCTGTCAAAGGTCAACCAGGCTCCTTCACATTCTTTAGCTCCAACAAGAATGGTGTCTGGTTTCTGCCACCGTCATCTAAAGGTTTAACGTATAAAGGTCTTACAAATGTCACAGTCCAACCAGCAAAAAGCTTTTCACATTTTCTATCCTTTCACACCTTCATATGTATAAAAAAATTATAGATTGACACAGAAGGAATTTTGCAGCATAAACCATTTTTGGGGTCTGGTTACCCTTCACTGGACAACTGGGAATGAACTCAACCCGGAGAAAAACTGACACAAAAACAGAAAGACATGACTCAGCAGTTCAGTTCAGTCTTGTTTTATTACAAATCTTTTATTAGGATATCCATACTTTTCCTCATTTTTGATCATCAGTCTGGTTTCTTTTCCTCTTTACAGTAGTTAATGTGCAATCATCTTTATTTCTGGGTCACAGTTAGGAATTCACAAAGTTTATTGGCACTTTGAACACGAGGGAAAAACTGGCGTGGACACGGGGCAGTTCGGGGTGTAAGGAGCAATCGGCTTGCATGGAGGTGGCGGGACTGAGGGTAGGAGGTCCTGGGTGTGGGGGTGTGTGTGTGTGTGGAGTGGGGGTGAAGGGTAGGTATATTCTTTGACATCGATGGATGCTACTGCATTATTTTGTGTTTTTAGTTTTTTTTTTCTTACAAACCTTCAAAAATCTGTTTTCACCTTTTCATTTATCCGAGTTATGAAGAGTAATAAAGAATAATACCTCATGCTGCGAGTGCACACCTAACAATCAAACTTTGATAGTGCTTCTATTTTATAATGTACAGTTCATATATTTATATATTTATACCGGAAACTGAGAAAAGAAGTTCTGTAAGGTATCTTCGCCCAACAACACCAGAGACAATCAAGAGGTGGTTTTCTTTCTTTTTGTCTTTTTTCAAAAATGGTTGTTGACGGTTGCTATGGTCCTGTGCAAGCCCCGCCCCTTCCCCTGCTCTCTAAGTATGATTCTGAGGTAAGACAGTTGACATGAACTCTCGGCTTGCGTCCCGTGTCTGTAAAAGCCCTGCACTGTGTGTGTGTTCAAAATGGCTGTTTTGACCCTCAAAACAAACCAACATTTTTTTTATACATATATATGTATATATATATTAACCTGGTTTGTAATGGCAGCCACAGCAGTCCAAAAAGCTGCTTGCAGAGCTGAGATTAAAGTCTGCTATGGCTGAGAGCTCCAGAGGTAAACTGGTGATTTTTTTTCATCTTAAAACTGCATCAGCGACACAAAGACACACACACGTATCCTGACGGTGTGCAGGTGCGTGGGCGAGCGTATGCATCTCGGAGGTTTTTCCGTTTTTTTTTTTTTGTTGTTTTTTTTTTTAATGTGTACATATACAGTGTATAGAGCTTTATATATAGAAGTATGTGTTTTGTCTCTGGTGTGCGGGGATGTCGGAAAAGAGCAAAGTAAACAGACGTGGATTAAAAAGACCACAGAAGAAGAAGACAGAAGGAAGTTGTGATGATTTTCAGAGTCCCACAAGGCGGGTGAAGGTGGTCAAAGCAGAACCGCCGAGGATCATGGGAGAAAAAGGCTGTGACGGTGAGAAGGACAGAGAGGGAGGGATAAGCTGCAAAGACGTCACCTAAGTATTGCCATCTTGATTCAAGAAGGTCTTGCGTTTCCTTTCTGCCCTTGTCAGTTCTTAAGTCAAGATTTTTTTTTAATACGTGATCACACCGTCACTGACATTCCTTGTGGTTTTTAACCAGGTTCCCACACAGAAAAAAAAATCCACCCATTGTTTCTGTAAGTTACATGGGATCAAGTGTTGAAAACATGTCTTTGTTGGACACTTTCCACCTTTTCATTACCAAGTTTGTAAGTTGAAAGCACACACAAGGTTTATGACGGTGAAACCCTCTAATTTTATGTCAGAAACGGGATTCAGTCCAGAAAATTAAATAGTGTTATCTATTTACACTTTGAATAACAGGTTAAGAACAGGCCTTTAAGATCCGCTAAAATGTTGTGTTTGAGACACTAAGGAGTGAACGTTTAGAGTTTGCTTTCGTGTATATAAAAAGGAGCCAAATTACTTTGTAAATTTATTAAAGCTCAATTTCTATGTATGTTTATAATTGAAAGATTACTGGATATTGTAGTTCCGTGCCTCTTAGATGGTTTGCATAGAGAAAAGGTGGCTGTCAGCAAATGATTATCAGCTGCATTAAGACACGATTTCAACACTTGCTGGTAGAATTAGACTTTTTTCAGTCTATTTTTTTTTTAAATCTGTAGAAAGCAACTGCTTTCTTCCCTTTTTGAAAGATGGCACGGTTTCTTCAGATCATCTGAGATTTCAATCAATCGTCAGCTGAAATTAGGAGATGGGTTTTTCTTTCTTCATGTGCGGATTTCCAGTCCTGTGTGAGAACCCTGTTCAATTCATCACCTGGCTTACTCCACCCAACTGGACGATCTCCCCGGACCCCATTCCTCACCCCACCTGGGGGGAGACAGCTTGAACTGTTCACCCTTCATCATTTCAACAATAAACATCTTTCAGAGAAGAGAGAAGGGGAAAGAAATCAAATAAACAGCAATAGTACATAAAAATAAAAACGATAAAAACAAGGAATTACATAGAAAACGACTCACGACTCCTCATATTAAATCTACACACTTTTTTTTTACCCCTTCCCCAAGCAAAAAGTCCCACTTCAGATGCCAGCACTCGTATACCACAGATAGGAAGTGACAACAGTGAGCGTGCTCAGAAAGGTGCAGAGGGTTTTGGCTCTACAGGAAAGTTGAGCGCTCCCCAGAAGGTGCTTTTATTTTTTATTGTTTTTTTCCCCACTCTCTACAAGTCACTTTTTTCCCCCTATCTGTGGGTCGGATGAGATCAGGAGTTAACCGATGCAGACTGACGAATGGATGGAGACGTCGGACAAACAAACAAGTGGCGTTCTCTTGTTTGTTTTGTTGTTTTATTTTAAACAATTTTTTGGAAGCAATGTCAGTATTTTTCAATCTATTTGGCGTTGTTGGCGGACATGTTTGGAGGGTATCCTGTAGTGTTGGGTAATAGCGGCGGAGGCTCTATGGCGTCCGCCGTTAAGGTGCTCGAATGAATACAGTGATCGACTCTTTTACAATCATAGTTCACCGCTTTTTGGGATCCCCTCCTTCCCGCCACATGGTGAGTTTTGGCAGTTGCTGCAGTGGTTGAGGCCCCCCCATCCTCATTCCTCCAAGCCGCAGCACCTGGACCTGGCCACCAGGTGGCGTTTAAAGAAGGATTTTAAACATTCATGTAGCGGTAGCTTATGCTTTGAGAAAATGCTGGTTCAAGAACCAGTTATTGTAAACTTGATTGGGTCAATTGATACTTTTAAGAGTGAGTACATTTTTATTTATGACATAATTTGGTTTAAAACAGTCATTTAGACTTGCAGAATTTACTTGAAGTGAGCCTCACAAGCTTTTTGTCTTCCTGTAACATCCATCCATTCCTCAGTCGGGGCACCCACTGATCCTGCCTGACAAAATCCTTGGTACAGTAAAAACTAAACATCTGGTCCAGCATTAAACAACCATATCCCCCTCACAATGCCCACAGCACCTCAGTCATACAATTTCAATGTAAAAATATGTGGTTCTCTTTTTCTAAACTATCTTACACCTAACCGTGTATCAACCGTTTACGTAACTCTAAATAGAGGCGTTAAAAGATGAAATGTTAGTAGCATCTCTTTTAAAAATAGCTTGATAACTAAAGACTCAAATGTGAAACGAAAAAAGCAAAATGAAATGTAACATTATCACACACACAAACGAAACACCCTCTGGCCCACCCAAACGCGAGACAGAACGTTGCCTTTAAATAGCTGCCCTACAAGAGGGCAAACAACGCAATTAACAGCGTATGGCACTAGGAGATCCAATTCCTAAGTTCCTATTAGTGATGCGGTTTTCAGTTTGATCCAACCTGACCATTGGAAACAAGAAGAAAAAAAAGGATCTGATCAGCGAGCACAAATCACAGAGCTGCAGGGACATGATTACAACAATCTTCAGTGGTACCGCTGTTGCTGAGTGAAGACAATTCAGCCTTTTTTTTTTTGCATCGGTGAAGTGTTTTAAAAAAAAACTATTTCAGAGGAAGCACAGTGTGAGAAACTGTTCTACTACGTGTAGAGATAAGGGTCATTCAGGCTGTGGGAAATTAAGAGAGAGCAAGACTTTCAGGAGAAACCTAAAACAAAGAGCAAAATGGCTCCATCGTTGAACTCTTCTGTTGAAAAACATGTTGGATTTGGAAATGCTGGCAGCCTTTTGGAAATTCTCTAACACTCACAGAAGTTTTAGCAATGCAAACTGCACTAATCACGCTTATTGCTAAAATGAAATGTAAAGACAGTTTAAAATGTTTAACTCCATATTTATTTTTCTATTGGTTTAAAAGTAATTGGAACATCACAAGAACTGCTCTAACACTGTGATGTCACATTTTGTTCTACTGAGCGAAATTAATGGCCCATTATGGCAGAAAGGCGAGACAGAGTATTTTTAATTCTGTGATTATAATTTAATTTATTTTAATTGGTGTTGGCAAGTCGAAAACTGACCAGTGCATCTCTAATTACACATTTTGTAATTCAGACAAAACCTGTCTAAACATTTGTTATAGCAATCTATCTCCTATTGTCTTTTTTTCTAATAAAACACAAATAAATGACTTATCGTATGTTTTGGAGATATTTCTTTGTTGAAATGCCGTTTTAAAATGTGTTACTTTTATTTTGTTCTCTTGCCTGCATCTAGGTGACGTTAATCCAACGAACAGACAGTAAAACAGCACTGAGGTCAATTTGTCTCACAGTAGTTCCCATCTACTCTGCTACATAAACTAATACTTATTATTGCTTCTTTCCAAATAAAATTTTCAAATATTTTAATCAAAACTGCAAACAATGACTTTTCGTCATGAAAAAAATTCCACCAATTTTTGAAGCCCTTAAAATCACTCAGCTTTCACTGATGTACTGTTAGGCTCTGGTGATGAATCACAGAATTTGGATTTTGGTTATTCTCATAACTGCTTAAAATGTGTTAAAGATCCAAACTGTCCAAACTAGGGGTGCACAAATTTCGGACCATCACCGATCTTTAAAAAAAACCTGGCCTGCCGATTCCAATTTTGGCTAATACAGATAGATAAGGTCAGTGGAAAATGTTGTTTATTCATGTATCAGCCAATGGCCAATCTCACAAAACTAAGGAAATCAAGGTTGATTTTTCCTTGTGTCCCTAGTCCAAATAGTAAAAAAAAAAAAATCTTCTCCCTTCTGTCCATTGAAAAGATCCTAGAGGAGCTACCAGCACAAAGAGCTCATCCACCGTGTCATGCAGGGTGGCAGATCATTTGTTCTGGCTTTGTGGCTACCGGACCTGGGCTCCAAGTCCATCGTAAAACCTTGAGTCAAATAGAGGCCGTCTAACAGCCAAAACTTGGCCCAAAGTGGATCAGCCCGCTGATGCCAAACATAGCACATGTAGAAAAATAAAAGAATGTTGAAATCACCGAGTCAAAACCTCAACTTGACTGAAATGTTGTTGCAGGTCTTTTAGAGGGCCGTTTGGATCTGGATTTCTGTAGAGCTCGAAAGACTGAAACAATGCTGGAAAGATTTGTTCACTTTATGAAACCAGATCGTCCTGGCTTATTTCATTCAACAGTCTGATGTGTGTGTGTGTGTGCGTGCGTGTTTCCTTTTTGTACATTTGAGGATCCTGGTTGAGATCAGATACATAAAACCCTAGGAGTGAAAAGAGATGTACTTTCTTTTCACCTGTGACTATGGTGAACAGTGCAGTTCTCAAGAATTGTGTACATGATTACTACTTTTTAATATGAGCCAAAGTAAACTGACACTGATTTACTGGACATTTCAGGAAGTTTCCCACTGTAATAAGAACAAGGACATTTTTTAAAAACAATTCTAGATAAAAATTTTAAAAAAGCAATAATTCTCTACCCTGCAGCTCAGTCACGTATTCATCATTTTTCCCATTTTCTAACGTGTGACGACAGACGAAGAACACACACGGTGTTTAATATAAAGACCACAGTTGGGAGGTGTGACTGCCAACATTGGCTGAATGGCCTTTCCAGCTGTGGAAAAAAAATATCTTTACAGCAGAACCTTTCAAGACAGAGGGGAGAAGAATTCAAACAAACAAGTTGAAGGAAATGAACTGCTGGGCGGATGGATCTTTAGTGCTTTGTGGAGAAGCAGCTTCCAGTTTCTATGCACCACAAATCTGGAAGAAACTTCCAGAAAACTGCAGAAATGCTGAAACACGGAATTCCTTTAAATCACGGCTAAAGCCACTCCTGTTTAGAGTTGTCTGGAACACTCATCAACACATTTGATGTATTTTTGCTTGATTTGACTAAATGTAGTGATAACTGCTTGTTTCAGAATTGGTTACTATATTTTATTTTTATGACGTAAAGCACTTTGAACTGGCCTGTCATTGAAATGTGCCACACAAATAAAATTGACCAATTTCGTTTCTGCAAGCTGTGTTTACCATTTGGAGTTGCTTTAATTTTTTTGAGCAGATGCACCAACTGGGCTTTTCCTGCACAGATTTATTTTATTTTTTGCTGAGTTGGTCTGAGTTGTTGATTCCCGTTTTGAAAGTTTCTGCCTTTTTTCGTCTTTCCACAAAATGAACAAAACAAAAGAATGTGCTGAGGGTTTATAGACAGAGGTAGATGTTTTTGAATCAAAAGGTAGATTAAGGAATTAAGATTGTCCCTATATATACTTGATGCACCCCAAACCTTGATCTGATTATTTTAGTGCACCCTGTGGGATTGATGCATTTACGGACTGAAAATGGACGACCTTCTCAGTTTGGATGCATTTAACGAACAGGAAGTAGATTCCGATTTTTCAAGATCCGACCTGCCGATCGAGGGAAAGTTGGGACGATTTCGATCTCTGGCGGATTGATCGGTGCATCCCTGGGTTTTTATTATTTCTACCCCCCCCCCCCACACTAAATTCTGCAGCATTAACAAAAGAGCACTGAGGTGTTTATCTTCCTATAGCAGACCAAGAGAGAGAGAGAGAGAGAGAGGGAGAAAAAGAGAATCATCAGCCTCTTCTCTCTCCTCTCACTCTTGTGTCTTTGTCTGGTTTGAAGCTTGGCTCGTGTGACGGCAGAGTGCCGCAATGCCTCATCTGTCCTGGGAGATTCTTAACAAACATCTCCTCCTCAGGAGGAGGCGCGGCGCCACCTTCTCCTCGTCTTTCTGCTCAAATCCAGGATAATTAGAATAATTGTCTGAACCCACTCGGTCACTTGCTTTAACAGTCTGGTTGGTATTCACCTCATGATTGGCTGCGTCTCTTCCCCGTGCGTTCTTGCGATTGGTCAGCACACGGCCGCCATGGGACACTCGGTGCCTTCCTTCTTCAATACTCTGATTATTAGGAGGTGCAATAAGCATAAAAAAGAAAAAAATCACCTCTGATTCATCTGATTATACGTACCTACGCCTGGCGACTTTTCAGATTTGCATTCAGATAGCTCACAGAAACACACACACATATCCCCACACAGACAGCAACCTATTTGGCAGCTCCATCTGTTGTTGTAGACAGACCGCCCACACACACACACACAAACACACACACACACAAACACACACACACACGAGGATGCACATATATTGGCAGGGATTTGCATTCTGTAAAGAAAATGGAGTCGAGACGAAAACGATGGTGCACGTAATGAAGCAACAAGGGACCGACGCCGTTCAGCTCCCTTCCTCTGTGTGTGTGTGTGTGTTTGCTGAACAGACAAAGGGGGGGGGAGAGAGAGAATTGTACGTATGGAGAAAGAAAGAGATGTAAACAAAGAGGAGAGAGAGGGAGGGAGTTGTCAGAAAGTTGCAGCGGCAGGTTTCTTCAGGACGCCTGACCAGGCCCTGGACAAGCTTCTTGTTTTAGCGAGGAGCCTAAAATGTAAAAAATTCATGATTTTGCTCTGCTTTTTTACTTTGAATTTACTTTACATTTTTTCGCTGGGTACAGTATACGCATACTGCAGATGTGGGTAAAAAGAAAGGTACGCCACTCTGTTGGAGGAAAAAAAAAACAAAAAGCCACTCATCTCATCCTCTGTGCATATACCACCCACTTTCTCTCTCTCACACACACAAACACGCGCACACACAGATATATACACAGACCTTGTAGAGCTAAGCACCCAAACCACCCACACACAGCGGCAGACATGCGCAGTCGTAACGCGAAGCCAGACACACGTATGCAGCACATAGATCCGAGACGCACACCGAGCACGGACGTATGATCGCACGAGCACGTACACACACACGCACACACACACACACACACACGCACACACACGTGCTCTCCCTCTCGAGGAGGCAGACGTTAACGTGCCATAAATGGAGATGGAAGGAAGCGAGTGGAGCGCATCCATACATTAATATGCATACGCACACTAAAAACACACCCACACATTGTTCATCCTCTCTCACGCGCACTACACACACACACACACACACACACACACACACACACACACAAGGCAGTATGCATGCATGCATTCATACCAAAATCATCCAAGCGTGCCTGCTCCCACCACCTCTACCTCCTCCCTGTCTATTCGTTCGTCCCTCCTCTCTAGGGAGGCTCACGCTGTCCTCTTCCTCCGTCGCCATCTCTCTCATAGATATTTCTTTCCCCCGTTTAAGGAGCTTCTACACACACACAGCGCTGGATTTCATTTGAACAGCTGATTTAGAAATGACAAATAATAAATTGTGCACTCCTTGTTCCCTAAGTCTTCTCCTGATTATTTTTATCCTACTTTACTTTGTAATTTTTTTATCAAATCTGTACCGTCCTTCAGGTACCAAACTTGGCTAGGCTGCCGTAAATTGTGCTATGACTGAGCAATATGGCCTAAAATCAATATCGTGATTTACCGAAGAGTTCACTTCAACAACGATAAATGGACAATAATACCAACCCTCCCACACCGAAATTAAAGAATGTGATAAATACTTCGCAGTCAGTTATATTGATGGTATAATTCCTGTGGACCAGTTTTTCGCAGTTATTTTTATTGCCACTTTAATGAACGTTAAAACAAATAATGCAAATAAATTAAGAAAGATTCGTACTTTTAGTTGTTATTGAACAAATAAACAAACTGAACAAGTTTAGAAGTATGAAATAACTTCTAACGTCCTTGCTGAAACCAAAATGTTGCCTAATGATTGATGCTTTTTTTGAGGGGGGAATGAGCTGCTGCTTTTCCTCCTCAACCAGCTCTACCTTCAACAATTCGTATTTCCTCAATTTCCTCAACCTCATGGTCTCTTTCACATCTTTTTGGTGACTAGATGGAGTAGAGTCATGTGACTACAGACTGTACAGGTAGCGCAGCTTCTTCAAGGAACATGAACATAGGTACCCTATACACAGCCAAAAAAGACATAAACCACTTTCATTTCCTTAAAATACTGAATATACCATTTTGGGCAAAATGACGTCTGCCGTCGTCATAAATTTCGGTCTCGGATAATTTTTGGTTTATTGCTCAGGCTTAGCTTGTACCACGTGCGTTTTGTGCTTCTCGGTCTATTCATAGAGAAATATCAATAAAAAAGATTACATTATATAAATACATAAATATATATGAAAACAAATGAAAGGGTGGGAAGCAGCAGAAACTCTCTGGTAAATTCCCAGAAACTTTACATCGAATTCATGGGAATTAACGGGCCAATTCGGAGAAAATATCAAATATCACTTTTTTGTTGTTGTAATAGGAGATCCATTTAATATTTTGAGGTAATCATTAATGTATATCAAATGTGTTTTTTTTCCAGCGAGTTTTGGTTATATTTACCCAGAATGCCTTGTGCTATAGTGCGCTTCCTGCTTTTGAAGCGTTCTTTGGTCCGCTTGGCGTTCACATATGCATTCAAACCGCACCAGACTTCACTTTACTTGAACCAACACCTGGTTTGTAGCCGGACCAGAGTTTGCTTTTTTTGCTCAACATCAGAGTTTGATTACGCATTCACATCCCCCCAAATGAACCTGGTTTTTTTCCCCCCAGATAAATGAACCACATAGTTGATTTAAGCGGATTAAACAGGGCTGGTGTGAATGCACCCTCAAATTCCAGGTTTGTTCCCATATATTCCTGCTGATATACATGGGAAGTCTGAAAAAATTTTCCCATAATTTTACCAAAGTGAATTTTCTAACCACGGCGTTCAAGACCTTGTTATTTCTTAACACTGATCTGGAAACTGTCAGTTCTGGTGTGAAGAAAACCTCTGGGTTGTGTCTGTACAACTCAGATTCGGTCTGACAAGGAGATTTAAGATGATTCTTTTTCTCGCTTATCATTTTCTTGTCATGTGTGGGGAAGACCCAAAGATTTGTTGACAGTTACAAGCTACTTAGTCAACTTTCAGGCAATTTACTTGTTTTTTGTTTTGCCACACAGGCAATAAGGTGCTTACGATTTGCTCCATTAAAAATCTAAAAGAAAGGATTGAACAGAAACAAGCATAAGAAAAAGGAATGGACCTTGCTAGCTTATTGTTCTTAGTCACAGCAATCTAGCCAAGTAGTTTGGATAAACAAACATGGCGGATATGTTAGATATGCATAGGAGGTCACTATGCTGCCATTTGTCTTTTCGCACAAACAGCACCTTCAATGTCTAGAGTACGGATGAAGATTAGTGACATTAAAATTCTGTACTACTGCTAAATACGTCTAAAAGTCACATTAAAAGCACTGCTGCTGTCATCAACCTCACCGTGGGAGATAAACTGGGGCTCTGATCGATTGTCACCGTTCCTGTTGTTTTAAATGTTATCATTATTGCTTTGTTCATCAATACAGGAAGGTTTAGTTTTACTTTGGTGAGTTTGTCTTTTCTTGTGGTCATTTCCTGTTTTATGGAGACAGTCACACATCAGCTCTAACTGAATACTATGTTCTCTTATCTTTAAGTGAGTTTGCTAAAAATATTTCTTGACACTTTTTTTGCTCTTTGAATTAATTATCCTAAATTAAAGGCTAGAGTTTTCTTTTTCTTTATTTCATGCGCTGCAATAATAGGGGAACTTACTTATTTATGGCACATGTTGGTGAAAAAATTAATATTATAATGTTACGTTTTGAATATAACGGTACAGAATACATGTTCATGAATAATATCTGCCAAAACACACATTTTTTTGTACCTTAGCTCCACTGAACAGTTTTATATTTCATCCTATTTAAAATATATATTTTTTTATAAGTTAGCTTAAAAACTCAATATTTAGCAGTAGCATTATAATGATATAGGTATCATTTTTTAAATCGTATTTAATACTGGCAGATATACGTATGAAAACGTAATGTGTTGAATTCATCAGACATTCACATGAAGGAGAGGTTTCACCGGTTCTGGGTCTATGTAAAAAAAAATAAAATAAAAAAACCGACTTAAAATATGATAAAATATAACAGAAACAGTCATTTTGAGTTGGATAGACTTCAAACGTTTTGATTGTTGCACCATCTGTTTTTTAAGTAATAGATGGCCATCCACAGTTTGAGGTTAAATCTCGTTGAAATTACACATTTTGGCAATGTTGCCCTGCCTTTGTGTTCTGTCTAAAAGATCAGAGATCCTTGAGATTTATTTGACACATCACAATGCCCTTCACGTCGAAAATAATAGTTGGCATTACTGGTTTTGATGAATTAATCATGAAGGAAAAAAACCTTTCAGGGTTTAGCTGATAACTATTTAGACAGGCTTTAAATTCTGAAGGTCATTTGTTAATTTCTTTTAAAAAAAAATATTTTTCTTCCTTTATTTAAATTCTTATATTCAGCCAAAACATCTGTTTCTATGCCAACATAGTTTTTGGTTCATCTCCCATTTATACTTTGTTGCATCTTTAGTAAATAAATACCGCAACTTTCTTTTAAAAGGCTAACAAAGAGCTTCCAAACTGTTCCCAGCATGTTCAGCACACAGAAACAAATCCACGTTAGCCGATCGCTTCGATGTGTTTCGTTGGCTTCCCATGTTTCCCTGGTGCACTGTGGCCGATGGGACCGGCAGCGCCCCAATGTGTATTAGCGTGCAGATCTGAGCGGTGAATGAATCGACCAAGCGTGTGTGAAAACGTGCCGTCTGACTTCCCACTCTTTCTCTCTCTCTTCCCAGCAGCACACACACATTCAACACACCCCTACATATACACACAGAGCTGTATTCCCTGCCAAGTAGTCGCGCTTCTGTCAATCCCAGCACACAACCAGCCAGAAAACGCCTGAGGGAAAACCTGCGCTCTTGCCGCTGCAACTGCAAATATTTCAATTCAAACGCGAGCTAAAAAGGACCTCACACACTCAGTGCTTTGCAAAAAAAAAAAGTATTCACACTCCTTAAACCTTTTCACATTTTGTCACAGTCCAAACAAAAACATCTTTGTGTACTATCAGGTTTTCATGTGATAGATCAACATAAAATGGTGCAAAACTGCCAAGTGGAAGAAAAATAAACTAAATTTTAATATTAGTGTGGCATGCTTTTGTATTTATGTAACCACTATTACTTTCCTTTCCTTAGTATCCTTAAATAAAAGCTGGAGGACGCAACTGCCTTTAGATGTCATTTAATTCTCCGGTCTTATCCAATTTCACAATCGCAGAAGATTAGCAATTTCGAAAATCCAAAGAAATTAAATCCAGCTAGTTAAGTTCTTTTTTCCTTCTTCAGTTTGTAGATTTTGAAAGGGGTCTAATGATAAGATATCACAAAAATTCCTTGTAAATATTTCTGAAGTAGCACCAAAAACACTTATTTTGAATGTTGAAATCCATGTACTTTCTTCCTTTCATAATAAAATCCTTTCATTTAAGTCTGTTGCTAATGCTAAAATGTGAAAAAGTTGAAGGCGTAGAAATACTAAGCAAAGCACATCACATGCACATCAACATAGCTTAGTGAGCTCAAAGGTGGAGACTTGCGGTATTTACAATTTGAATTTTTCTTTAAATACTTTTTTAAAAATGGGTGGTAAACATTGGAAAAAATTGGACATTAGCTAGAAAAATTTGGTTGTTTTTTTTAGGGGTGGGGTTGGGGAGTTGAACATTAAAAAAAAATTAAAAAAAACATAAAAACATGTATCTTCTGCTTCAGTACAAAAACACAGCCTGATTGTACTCGTACCACATAAAATAAAACAACAGTGTGTTCGTAGCCAACAAATTTCTTTGATTGCAATCTGTAGCAATGTTGTTCCCCCCGGAGCCTTGGGAATAATAACAATAATAATAAAAAGAACAATGTAAAAAAACAAAAAAAAATTGTAACAGGGTGTTGGGGGTTTCAGGCAGCAGGGCCAGGAGATTGTAAACTGTCAATATACACATCGAAATGTACAACCCTCGAACTCATCGATGCCACAAAACACTAAACAGTCAAAGCAAAAAGGGGCTCAGCACAATCTTTCAGTCGTCACTGCCTTACAACGCTGTAGTTCGGACGCTTCGCCTCGCATACATTCAATATCAAAACAACAGTGTTACCGGAGTTTGGGGGAGGGAAAATATCGCTCTCTCCAAACAGGATTACCCTCACTGACAGCCCTCCCCAGGGAATGTCGGTGATTGATTGTGAAGAGAAAGAGCCTTGGTGACAATAAAAGCTTTAAAAAATGTAGAAAAACTAAAAGTTGAGAAAGGTTGCAGAGGAAAGAAGAGGTGAGTGTGTGTTCGGTTTTGGGGGGGAGGGGAGGTTCACGTTCTTTACTCTGCGACCTTTCTCTACGTCTTTCTGTCAGTCTCTGTCAGAAGAACGAGAACATTCTGAGAGAAAGACAAAAATGCGCAAAAGGAAGGAAAGTACAAGAAACTGACCAAACAGTAGCTGCGTTTCCAGGACAAATGAGCGCAAAGCTTTTTTGATAATCCGCCGAAGTCAAAAAAGCACAATTTCGTAATGACGGTGTTTCCCAATAAATAAGAAACGCAATTGAAATCGCACATGAATACATCTGCTCATGTGATAAGTCGTTAACAAACATGTGATGCCATCATCCACCTACTGTTTCCTGTCTTCTCCTACGTCTATTTTCCGCCGCAGTAACATCCGGTTGTTGATCATGTGACTTGTGTGATGTGAAAAAAGTGTTTTCCAAAATACTCCAAGTTCAACAAAAAAAATCTGAAAAACCATCTCATCCTAGCACAGATATTTTTAATGAGAAACATGGGGGGGGGGGGGTTTCCTCCAAAATTGACGAGTTTGCATTAAGCCAATTTATTTTCGTAATTCCAATTTGCGCAATTATATGGTCAATGGAAACGCAGCTTGTGAGAGAAGGAACAGATTCCCAACCACCTGGCAGCTGTGAGGGGAGGGGTGTTGTGTGACAACCGTCATGGAGACTGCGGCGGTCCAATGTTCTCGACTCTTTACCGCAGACGAATGAGTCCGTCCGATCCGCCTCCGTGTGATCGTTTGCTCAAAACAAAGTGCTGCCGTCTCCGCCGGCCCCTGGCATGGCATCAGCCGGCATGGTCCCACTAGACGCTTCGCTGTTATTGCCGGCCGCCGCCACGGCTTCCAGAGAGGCCGGGTCGAAGCCCTGCTCCACCCCAAGCACGTCGGCCTCCATCTTCACGCTGTCGGCCAGGAAGGCCGAGTACGCGTCGCTGTCGGCCATCAGCAGTTTGAGCTTGGGGATCCAGCTCTTCCGTACGACGCGCCGGGCGTTGGTGCACATGTCGGCTGCGATGGCGTTCATCTCGCTCTCCTTGAAGCTCGGTGCGAAGTTCTGGCAGTAGACTGGAGGAAATGGAAGCACAGAAAAGCGGAGAATCGTGGAGGGTATCGCTTTAACAGCACATGGAGTGTCTGACAGAAAAGCCAAGATGCCACAAAAAAGATGATATTGTAAAGACTCACATTTGACCGCATGCAGCACTCTGTTGTCCAACGGCTTCCGGCTGGGGTCATTGGTCGATGAGCGGATGCCGGTTCCACAGCTGTTAGCTAGTGTGCTCCTAACCAGATGAAAAGGACACAAAAGATCCCTGTAACCTCTTATTCACATATTTGATTCCATAAACTCTAATCGGTTAATTTTAAGGTACAAAACTATCAATAATGCGGAAAATTTATATTTTATGGTACTTTTAAAGCTTGGAAAGTTCTAAAAAAGCTCAAGGGTAGCAAAAAGACGAGTACAACGGTTTCAATTTTCTGGCCAATCACTGATTTTTAAAAAGCCTGAAAGTACCGATTTTTTTTCTTTTTGTCTAAAAACCAGCTAAAAATAGCAACAAAGTTGCTAAGTTGGCAACAATGGGGTGACTATTGTTAACAGTAAATGGCTGTCAGTCAGCTTTCTGTTAGCTAATTTTCAGACCTTTGCAGAAGTAGATGAGATCGGTTTCACATTTAAGTATCGGCTGGTCAACCGATTGATTGGTATATCCTCAAAATTGTTTTCAAAACAAATAACAATTTAGGGCTGAAACGATTAATCAGATTAATCATGATGAATCGACCATTGGAATATTTGTCAAGTAATTTACTAATAGATTAATTGTTAACTCTAACATACAGACTCGGAAAAGGTAATTTGCCACATTCACAATTAAGCCAAAACTTTACAAAAAAATTATACATTTTGCATTTAAGATGAAAAAAACCCTTTGTCTGTAAATAGTTTAATTCCTTAAGTAACCTAGTTTTACCTTCACCAAGTTCAAATTCTGTAATAACAAATCTCCAATTAAGCACCTTTTGACATCCAGTTATTAATCTGTTAATCCACAAAATAATTAACATATCAGCCCTACACTGTTACGTCAAGCTAATAGAGCTGAGCTTTTCACGTGATGGTGCTAAGAGTATTTTTCTAGCTGCAAATGGAGCCATTACTGCAAATGATAAAGCGTACACTAAAGGAGTGGTGCTATTGAATTTTATGCAATAAACAGGATTTTTTCTTGTTTAAAAAAAGAATAGGAATTATATGCGTGTTTGCATCTCATAATTCTAATATTATATAAAAAAGGTTTATATTGTTAATCGAAAAACTAGCAGAATATGGCAATTTGTTATTGATAAATTGATAGATTAATTGATAATTCAACTAATTGCTGGTTACAGTCTTATGAAAATTTGGATGTGCATCTGGGATTCTGTTGCAAAAATGTAAACAGTATTGATTAAGATCGATCTACGTTTTCCAAACTCTTCTCTCCTTTTTTATATCCAATTAATTGTCAGAAAAATCAATAGAATAATGGATAACTAAAGTGATCGTTAGTTGAAGTCCTATAAAAATTAGGGTGTGCATTTGGGATTATGTTGGTAAAATTTAACTGTATTGATTCTGATCAATCTAAATTTTTCAAACTCTTTTCTTTCTTTCTCTCTTTCCTTCTTCTTTCTGTATTTCGTTCTATTTCTTTCTCATGTCCTTTGCAGCTTCTATCATGTTTTACATTTGTTTTCTAACTCCATCCATCTTTCTAACCACACTGATAAAAAGCATCTCCACAGCATAATGCATGTTTCACCATGGGGGATTGCATGATGAGCACTGTTTTCTTCCACACAGCACTTTGCATGTAGACAAAAATCACCTACATGACTATCTTACCATGTTTTAATTGAACACTTTTGCAAGGCACTGTAGTGTTTCTAACATGCATGTGTTACAGAAACATTCTCAAAGCTCTTTCCAGTGAAAGCAAAGCTTTCAAAAAAAGTAAAACAAAAAGTGGTGATATGACGTGAGATGATTACCAACTACGTTGACCTCAAAATAAATTCACCTTTCATCAGAAAAAAACTGAAAGAAACAGTATTTTTCAAATCAGTCATCAAAACGTTTCATCTTTAAAGCCTTCAAGAAGGTACTTTGATAGCGGCTTTTCTTCACTTGATCCGTCTTCGCCTGCTTCACTTTCCCTCCCCCCACCCGCTAAGAAAGTTGACAACAATAAAAGACCTCTGCATCGCAGCAAATGGGAAGGATTTCAGCCACTGACCTGTCAAAGAACGCCGCCAGCAGCCGCCGGAGTAGCACTTTGTGGCGGGTGCCGGCGCTGACGTGACAGTTCATGAGCTGGGCGCGCGAGATGAAGACAGAGGTGCCGCTGACCAGCTCCAGCTTCTCCGCCGGGTCGCCTTCCTCGTACAGCTTCGGATGGCAGCGGTTGCCAATCTGGCTGATGAGCTCAGCGGGCAGCGACGCCAGGTCCTGCCGGGACCGCCCCCCTTTGCCTCCGCGCCCGCCTCCCGAATCGGGAGCCAAGTCTGGCAACGCCTCCACCCGTTCTCCGACCACTGAAGACGGAGGGAGATTTATTGTTACTGTAGCTGTGAAAATATTTCTTCCTACCTGGATATGAAAAAACATGGCAAATATTTCAGTTCTCCCAAATGTTTTCCAGAACCCTCCCACGGTCTTAGTGCGACAGCTCAGGAGGAGCGCGGCAAATGTCACGGTCGGACAGCAGGAGACCGCCAGTTTCCAAAACCACAAAAAAAACTTGTAAAAGCATACGTGGGATCAGTGCAACCTCACCGGACTATGCACAGAGTAAAAAAAAAAATAAAAAAAAAAAAAGACTGGTTCCCATCTCGATTGCAGGAGGGTTTCAAAAATATATATATATTTTTGGACAGAAATAGCACAAAAAAATTCTAAAACCCAACAAATTTTATTTAATATTTGTCAGCTTTAGTATAGTAAAAATGTATATATTTATGCATCCCATTAAATTTAAATCTCGGTTACTACTGCTTCCACTAAACACTTTAAGACAATAGCTGTGACAAAGTGCTATACGAATAAAATCAACAATCAACAAACATTCAAAATAGGGCAAGGACTGAAGAAAAAGACAACCATAAAATCAATAAAAACTCAAATGGAAATCAGATCAAAACTCTCAAAACAAACCAAACTTTCCAGGCAAACAAACCAGAGCAAAATAAGGTGTAAATGCACCCAAAGATTGCTAACTGAGCTGCTTTTTTACTCTGCAACAAGTTGGTTACAGAAGAGTGTTGATGCTACACTTGCTAGCTTAAAACGATCTGAACACATTGGCCTATTCATTTCCTCACCTGCCGCTCCAGCATTCAGCATGCTGTACATGGTGTACATGTTGCAGATCTGTCTGTACTGCTCTTCGGCACTCTCATCTGCAATCTCGTCCTCCTCCTCATCGTCGTGGTAACTGATTGGCGAGTCACTGGTGTACATGCTGAGCGTGCCCGGGCTGGTTCCTTCGGGGGTACCGATGTTGTTGTTGTTACTGTTGTGGTTAGTGTTGAGTCCAGCTCCTCCCACTAAAGTGGCACTGCCGCCGCCGGCCGCCATCGCAACACCGGTCGCCGGGCCTCGCCCTGACGCATCCTGCGTCGCTGCGTTACAAGACGAGGAAGAAGAGGAGGAGGACGAGTAGCGTGCAGCCTTCCTCATTCCACCTCCCCCGCCTCCTCCAGACCCCCCGCCCCCGTCCCGGTTGGCCCCCTCCCACAGCCGCTTGGCCACGGGGGTGCAGACCACAGAGTAGGGTGAGCCCTCCTGCCGGGGAGGAAGGAGGTACAGCCGGTTAATTATCATCACACCCAGACGCTTTAGCAGCTCATCAAATGCTCACGACTACCAAGGAAACGGAACAAACAGCGACATGTCAAAGTCTGTTGTGTGGGGTGTCAAGCAGTGAATAAAAGAGATTAACAGTTGATGTTATGAAGGTCTGTTGTAGGATCCTTTGAGAATAAAGCACTTTAAAGTTTCAACGGTTCTTTTTCAACTTTTGAATACACCAAAGCTAACGCTAAGTGTCAGAAATCATTTAATTACTAAGACGATCACAACACAAACAGTCCGTGGACACTGAAAAAATGCTTTGTAACCCGTTTACTGTTGAAGTTCTTCAATCATTTTCCCTTTATATAATTTTCTGCAGAGTATAAGAGAATGTAGTGAGTTTTAAGGTCTTTGGTCAGACGGTACCTGCTGCTGCTGAGGGACTTGCTGAGGCGTAGTGGCCGTTTGTTCCGTCTTCACCTTGGATACCAGGGGAAGAGGCGTCAGACAGGAAGCAGGCCTTCCTACAGGCGCTGCAGCCACACCCACACCCATCCCTCCCACTGTCTGGGTGACTGGACTCTGGGGCTCGGAGGACGGAGTCTCCTCGGCATGGAGACCCTGGGAGTCACAGCTTGGGGAAGAGACCTGAGGGGATTGGGAAAATGAAAGTTTGATCCATGCACAGTATGTTGATTTTATGCTTTATGATTTAACAGTCCAACATTTTTAGGAGTTTTGTCCTTCATAGAACCTTCACAATGATTTTTGTGAATGATGATGGAGGGATGGAGGAGAAAAGGATAAACAGTTGGATGAATAATATTTGGAGTCATAGACAGATGGACAGAGAAAATGGATGGATGGATGCATGGGTGGGTAATTTTTGGATGGATGATACATATATAAGTTTTGGATGGATGAATAGATGGATGGATAATTTCTGAATGAATAGAATGATGGACAACTTTTGGGGACAGTCAGACGGATGGATGAAACTTTTAGACAATGGGAGCAGGTATACCATCTTTCCAAACTTATCCAGACCTCAGGCATATTTCTACATTTATAGACTTTTCTAGACTGTCCACATACTTTTGCAAACTTCACTTTAAGCACAATGCAATGTTTGTTCCAGATAAACGTTAAATGACAAGCTGGTGAGAAAAGGTTCTGATCAAGATACAGATCTATGCAGTGAGGTACTCCAAACCTGATCAGATCACCACTGCTACCTGCAGTGCCACTATCATCATTCAGATATTTCTGAGTCACAACAGCATCATGTGTCAGGATTGCAATTATATTACGGTAACCAACAGTTTCCATTGAGCATGCTTGCCATACTGTTAGCTCATTCATTCACTCTGAAGTCACCTTGAGGAAAAACTCTGTGCCTTTCTCCATTATCTGTTGGATCTGGAGGAAGCCGGCGGTGTACATCAGCAGAAACTGGTCTCCGATGTTCATGCTGAGGCGCCCCGTGTAGCAGAAGGCCAGAATCTGCTGGAAGCTCTGCGGCTGCACAGCCGGCGGCAGCTCCACCACAGAGCTCTTCCCGCCGGCATTGAACAGATCCCGGAAGTAGGAGCTGCTGGCTGCCAGAACTGCACGATGAGCCTGAGGGGTAAACAGTGTGGGGATCGTGGGGGGCTCGTCAAGGTTCAAACCACACAGTGATCCAGGCTGAATATATAAACAGACTGATGGAAACAATGTTGGATCCATTTGATTATCACACATTTACTACTCCACTGATGGTGAATATGTCGTTTGCCAAAATGCCTGCCAAGCAATTAAGGCGATCAAATTTCATGCTTAGGAGGTATGGTTTTAAAACACACAAAACTGTTTGATATTTTGTCATGTAATAACTACAAATTTCAATATATTTTATTCTATTTCCACCATCGTTTTGGCGCCCACTCCAGCTCAGCACCCCATGCACTGCATATAGTGCATACACACTTTTTGCACCACAGGATGTTTTGGGAGGGGCTTGAGACAAATACTCACTGGATATTTTACTTATTTTATGGGCAATTATTTATAATTCTTATCTGTAAAAATGTTAAACAATAAGTTGTTGTTTTTTTCCCCTATCACAATTATTTTAGTTCTTTATGCTAAAAAGAAGGCAGGTTGTTATGTGCCCATCATCTGATGAAAGACTATTAACTTTCTGATTAGATTTGAATTTTGAATCTTAACCCATTTGAATATGCATGCAAGTTTGAGATTGTAATGCGACTAAAATATGGAGAAATTCAAGTGCTTTGTATGTAAACCCACAATAAAGAAAGCTGAAAATAATTACTCAATTAAAATGTAAACTACTTCATAATCCACATATTTCATAAGGCAACACAAAAAGACATTGAATTCAACAAAACTTTACAGAAAGTTATTAGACAAAACAACTATTTGAAGTTTTAATTATGGAGAAATACTGTTAATATACTGCCGAATAAAATATTTAATACAATCTGACCTTAAAGGCATGCCCCTTGACGACCACGGAGACGTCACAATAGAGGCCCTGCAGCCGCTGTTCGTTCAGACACTCCAGGACGTTGTTGCCAAAGTTGGGGATCGCCATCTGCAGCGTCTGAGCCATAACGCTCTGCCCAGGACCACAGGGTCTGCGAAATTTACCACAGCAAGAAGGAAAGTCAGGGGCGTACATGTGGCAAACAAATAGACAAATATTATTGGAGTAAGAGCCAACAACTTTATTTGTAAGAACTTTTCAAAAGAGCAAAACTGAGCAAAAGTGCTGAACAGACACCATATTAAAAAATCAACATAAAACAAGCAAACTAGTGGTTTCCCAATGCCGATACCGATGTTGAGCCGATACCAGCGTCAAGTGCTCATACTCAACAATTTTTCTCATCATACTCCCATCAATTTTTTTTAAAAATGATGATGACATTTAATTGCTTTTAGATTTCATCATCTGAGATGTGTGATTAATTGGAGCAGAGCAGTGGAGCAAACTGCACTTGCTAGTCTGATGGACATCTGCACTTTCACTTCTTTCCTTCGTCTACAAGGTGAGCTGTCTACTTCTCTGTTTAGACTATAATAAGTAGATTAACCCAACTGGATTGCACATTCTCTTTTGGCTTTCTCTGTGTAAGCATTGTTGGCTTATTAAATGGGCCACAGAAGCTCGAGCCACCATCAAATAATTTTGGGCCGACTGGGCTATATATCTAAATTCAAGCGAAAAGTCTTTTGACAAGTGATAAAGTTTTACAAATGGACAGTGAAGAGACCTGCCTAATGTGTATAATGGGCTTCTTTTGAGCAAGACTCAACACATTCAGTGTTTTATGTGTAGCTTTAATATCAAAATCAGCTAACATGCTCTTATTTTCTAAATTACTACAGTTAGCATACATAGTATAACTAGCAACTAGCATGTTGACCTATAGTAACATACTCCATTCACTATGGGAGAAAACGTGCTAAAGCTAAAATTAGCTAAATGCTAACATTGGCTAAACTCCTGTCAAATCGCATGTGGGCCATCACTAGGGAGGAACGAGGAGCTAAAGGCATGTTGTAGATAGATTACCAAGGGAAGGGTTAGGAGTGGCTAAATGAGGAAGCAAAACAAATGCAGAGTAGACAAGGCGGTAAAAACGACAAAGCAAGAAAAGAAATCTTCAGAGATGAAAACTAGAGCAAAATTATGAGCAGATGGAAGTGAAGAGAGTGAGACAACTTGAGATAAAGAGAAAGGGTTGCTTACGTGCACGAAGATTAATGAATTAAAAATTTGGTAAACAGCTTTGATTCAAGTCTAGCTTCTAAATAAAAGAGAATTTGGAGGCAACTGGGCCAGTTATATAAGCTCTTCTTATCTTTATCCTAACCCTGTTTCCTTACATCTGATTCACTTTATAGAACTGTTTGGCGGTTTTTGCCCTACTTTGACATTTATTCTGTCAGTTCTTCTAAGCGAAGAACAAAAACTGCTTACATAACTTGTCTATTTCACTTCACCACAGAACAAAAGAGTCTCTGATCAAAAGGAAGGAAACCGTAGATCTCCCAGTGAATAATATATCCATCATTATAGCGTCACTTTAAAATGGACTGTATTTTTGTTTATAAATGCACAGCACATATAAACTAGCTGGGAACAGAAGTAAACAGCTGGAAACATAAAGGTGAGTCACAACGCCACTGAACAAATACGTCATATAGAAGATTGTGGCCTCCAAGCAATGGATGCAGGCCAAGTTCGGCAGACACCAGCGAGTATTTGGAGCACAGCAATGATGCGTTCTATCTGACCCCGCTCCAACCCCAAACATCTCACTAATCTGTAATAATATTTAACTGATTAGCCTTTCTCTTCTGCTGGGAGCAAAACACACTCGGATAGAACCCTGCAACCTAAGCAGCAGGCTTCACAGATTTATTCAGATCTTCTTGTATTTCCGGCAAGTGGCGACGACGAGACCTGCTAACTGAAATTCACAATTTTCACAACTTATTGTCTGAGCTTCTACACCAAATTGACTGGAAAAGGACTGACTTAATGATGATAAGAAGTTAATTGAAAAAAGTTTATTTGTGTAGCACAATTCAGTAACAAAGAGCTTTACACAATTAAAACATAACACAATGAACAAACAAAAAAAGCATCATGTTTCAGGCAAAATACAGAGAAGTAATAAAAAGTTGCAGTACAGACGACAATTAATCAATGTTCCAGTTATTATTAATTAAAAGCAACTTTAAACTGGTGGATTTTTTTTTTTTTTTTTGCCATGATTTAAAGGAACGCTGTGTTTTGGCAGTTTTGCATTTTTCCTGGAGTTTGTTTCAAATAAAACTGAACACTGCTTCTCCATGTTTGTTTTTGATTCTGGGGATGCAAAGTAAATTTCAACCAGAAGATCTGAGTTGTCTGAAAGTTTGATTTAAATCTCTAATGTGTTTTGGTTCTATAATCTTTGTGTTTCTAGATCTGGCTGCGACATTAGTCCTTCAATCCTAGAAATGGCCTTAAGGTGATAGAAGGATGACTTTGTAATTGTCTTTATGTGTAGTTGAAGGTTCAGGTCTGAGTCCATCACTAGTCCCAGATTTTAGACCTGATCGCTAGTTTCTAGTTGTAATAACTTAAGTTGCACGCTGATTGTACTGTTGTACTGTTGCACAGATTGTTCCCGTTTATGGTACGAAGATAATAACTTCAGTTTACTATAGATGGACAGACATAAAACCCCTAGAGACAGACACATTACAAATGATCATACTAAACAGACAGAAAAAAATAACAGTAGAAGAACGATTCAGAATGGGAAGAGAGCTGTATCAAATATAGGAGATAAGGAAGCTGTGGGAGATATTTCTTCATTGATAATATCTGGACATTTCTTCTAGTTTTACGATTTTTGTTGTGGTTAAATGTTTCGGATCATCTATGAAATTTCAAATTGAAAGGTTTCTTTTTAAAATGGAAGTTTGAATCTATATTGGATTTTTCTCTCATTACCCACACAGGGTCTCATCGTCCCATGGAGGCATTCGATTAACATTTCCAAGCAAGCTCTAAAGAAACCATACACTTTCTCCAACTCTAAGCAAGGTCCTGCCCCTCATTCTAGATGTACGTTTGACCACTTGTCTAATCAAATTAATAGAGTTTGTTTAAGTTGGCTGATTTCCTGGCACAGAGCTGGCTTTGAGACAAAGTCTAAACATTTTTAATAAGCCTGAGGTCAGGCCCAGTCCAGAAGCTTAATGTTAGAGCGCTTAATTAGTTCCAAAACCAATTTTGATGTGTTTGGGAATATTGTCCCATTCCAACTATGCCCTTAGTTTTAACTGCCTTGCTGTCAATTTGATGGAAAGTTAAAGAATTCATGCAATGCACCATTAGCACTGGCAGAGAAACAGACCCTCGCTATGATGCTACAATGGTTGCAACAAATTTCAGATTTCTTAGTGTGAAAACAGTAATTTTGTCTCCTCCAAACATGCCTATTGTCATTGTGGCCAAATAACCCAGTCTGTTTTGCGTGACCATAAAAGTTTCTTCCAGAAGACATTTGGATCCTCAATGTGAGCATTTAGAATTCCAGCCAAGCTCCTGTGTTAATTTTGGAGCAGAATGTTCTTTCTTCGTCGACATGGATGAAGTTGGCAAACACACAAGTTTCTGAAGCGCCCAGAACCCTAACTCCATAAAAGATTTTATGTACTATACTTAAAGGCTAATCCATGAATCTGAAACAATTTAAATTAACTCTACCAATTTTGATAAGTAAGTCTGCAACATGCAAAGATCTTGCTAACAGATATACAAAGTGTGTGATTTCAATGCTAAAGGATATTCAACCAAATATAAGTAGTGTATAACTTTGACTCTTTGTAGATTAAAGATAATTCACAAACTGTGACTTTCATCTAGTGGTTAATTTTTTTTTTTTTTTTTGAAAAACGTGACCTAGTTATTTCATCACTCCAGGGTGAAAATCTCCATAGTTTAAAGTCAAGAACTATTTTGTCAGTCTCAGAGAGGTAAGTGCATATAAACTTTGCATGTAAACCAGAATATGGTTAAACCCAACATAGCCATTTGTCACACCTGACTACATCAGCGTTTTAAATATTCTCCACAAGCATGACTGAAAAATATCACCATGAACAAACTGTTGTAAGTAACAGTATAGCACAACTCAACGTGGTTCAACAAACAGGCGGTATACATCTGAAGTAGAGGCTGTAGGATATTAGAAAATCTTGCAATAGCAACTCTGTGACCTTTAACACCTTAGTTATTAGCACAGTTATTTTTGTCTGATGTGGGCATCTGCTGCCAGAAGACACTGTCCAACTGGCTAAATATTGTACAGTGGACCCCCGGTAATCGTGGGGGTTATGGACAACAACCACCTGTAAATAGCTGAAATCTGCGAGTATTTGAGACCTCTGAAAACGTGTATCGCCAAATAATTTGGAGTTATATACCAAAGAAAAAAATTTGCAAATAGGTGAATCTGCGAATATCAAACCGCAAACAGGCGGGGTCCGTTGTAGTAGCATGTAAAATACAAGTTGGCAACACTTAGGATATATAAGCCCACAAATACTGCACTCCAAACAGTCTTTTGTAATATGAATATTGTACACAATGAAATTGTGATGATAATACTGTATATTCACAGTATATTGTTCAGCCTTAATCTGGAGACCATTCCTCCAACACAACACGGCAATGGCATTCAGGTCTAACTAGGTTTTGATACCAGTGGCCACCAGTAACATAATAGCCAATAGCGTGTCAAGTAGCATTGCGGATGTTTCAACTTCTAGTTGTGGTACGAGTAAATCTTCCAGAAATTGTCAGCCTCATCTTAAATTCTTCCACGTTTAGCCATTCACAGAAAAGCCACAAAGCCACCAACCGGAAGTTTCAGAGCAAATTTCTTAAACTAAAATCTTTCTCTAATTGCCGTCTAAACTACCAAGTCAGCAAAAATGTAGCACAAAGGTGACCAAGAGAGGCGCCAAATACAGAAAGATATCCTGAAAAGGCCAAAAAAAAACAGACAAAAACCCCCAATCATAATAAAACAGCATGCTGAATCGTGCCATCTTGTTTTCAGAAAGAACA